ATTAACAGTATATGTGTGATGAATCCTGAATTGTATGATGAGAACATCCAATTCAAGAAACGGCACCAATTGGCTTTTGTATATTGTGATCTAATGATAATAGTAATATATATATGTGATGCTGTGAAAAGATGAATGACTAATAAAGGAGCCTTATCTTCAACTCAATAGATTTGTGCACCAAAAAAGATGATAGTGGCATTAGAATACGACGCAAATGGTGTTGTTGCTTATGTCGGATAACAATCCCTCTAAACAAAAAAAGAAAATTATTATTATAAATAAAACAAGGGGCCTAGATTTGATCGATAACGGCGAATAAAGACAGTGTTAGATAGGAGAAGTAGAAACATTAACAAGAAATTATTTTTAGCAAAAGAAAAAAAAAACAAGAAATTATTGTTATTGGTACGGGTCTTTCTTGGTACATTAAAAATGTTGTAAAGATAATGGTAAAGTGAGAGTGAATTGGAGTGAGCTGTTTCATTAAAAGCATAGAGCAGTCTGTGATGAGTTTATGGGTCCGCATAAGACAACCCCCTCATTTATGGGCTTCATTTTCTTAGCTTCAAAAGTTGCAATTTATTTCCCTACATCGATTTAGGTATCTACCGTGCAGTTTCAAGTCAAAATAGTAAAATGGGCCTCAAACGCAATCAGTAATAGCGGATTTACAGAGAGAACTGTAAAATGTGAGACTTAAAAAAGCCCTTATTTACACAAGACAGGAAATGAGTGTGTATCTCTGCTTGTTTCTTACATCACAACTCCACTCGGTAGAAACGAACCAGTTTCATGCTCTGCACTCTCTCCTCCTGCATTTCACATTTTATATTTTTTCCATTTTACCACCAAGTTTATTACAAGACCATCAAAATGGATATGTTGTGGTGCAGTTACATTACCTGAACTTGACCCGACGAATCTTCTTCCTGCTGCGGAAAATGAAACCCTGTTGAGCAGTTCTTCAACTTCTCCGGATTTTTCACCCATGCTTTTCGACCTTCACTCACTTTCACCTGGAATCTCCATGTCTACCACAGTCGGATATACGTATGTTAGATTCAACCCCGTTAATAAACAACGCTGTTTTTGCGAATGAGTGAGTGAGTGACACACATACCTGAGAAAGCGGAAACGTGTCTCTCTCGATTTCATTTCCTTCAATGTTTATGCCAGTGCCTTGGCATTCTGGACAGAACACTGAGAATATTTGCCAGCTTACGTCGTTTACCAACTCGTTCAACTTCCCACTACCATGCTGCTTTCTGCATCTTTTTTTTCCTTTTCCACTCACGATCTTGCTCCCAAGTATTTCAGTCTCACAGAAGAGAAACCAATGTACTACGCAAGACACGTGAAATAGGTGAAACGCCCCTAGGAGGTTTCTGCTGCTGCAAGCAAGTTTTCCTGTCTTCATGTTTAGTATTGCTGCTGCATCTTTCCCTGGAAGTATCTTTTGCTTACAAACTTCACATATCCTTTCAGAAAATATCCTCTGTTGCTTCCTCAGCTCCCGTCTTACCGTTCTGTTCTTGATGACTCTCTTGTTCATGAGATGATCATCATACTCGGCTACTAGTGCTCTTGAAGAATTTGAATTACGAGCTGAAGAAACCTCCTCAGAAGAGTCATACTGATTACACAGAGATTCACTGGTGTCCTCTGGATCCGAGAAAGACTTCTTTCTCTTCCTGCCACTGTCCTCGCCATTCCCTGATTCTACTGACGGACTAGATGTGAGAAGACGTCTCGGATTATCGAGCAAACCCAGCCTACCCAGATTGTAGAAGTAGGAGAAGGTGACAATAGCAAAGTCATGCTCTGGGACCACAGCCTTCTCCTCTTCTGAAGGACCCTCGTCTCCTAACCACTCGCACCACAGTTTATCAATTCCAGTTGAGCGTCCTTTCTTTTCAAACAACCTAGCAGCTATTCGGCCAAAACCAATGAACCTTGCTTCAACATCAAGAGTTCTCTCCTTGATCAGCACACCAGAGATTAACAGATCATCAGCACAGTGACGAGGTTCATCATCAGTGTCTACAACATGTTGGTTATCACCATCCGATCCGCCTGTTGTGTTTTTATCGTAGTGGACAATAGCTAATCTGTTATCGTCGCTGCAATGCAGCAAAGAAGCAGGAACACCTTCAGCATCAGAGATTGGAGGTTTCTCCTCTTCAGCGGTTAAACTATCGAAGAAAAGGACACCATCATTGAAAGGCCACGGATTGGGTCCAAGAAGCGTGATCCTAGCACATGATAACCTCTCCTTGTGAAGGTTACCGTTCAAGTGTCCAAGCAAAATAGTGTCGCTGTAGCAAGGAGCAAGACACAAAGTGCAGAAGAAGACGAAGCGTTTACCATCCTCACGAAGCTCAATGTATGTGTGACCTTGTAACCTCAGATTCTTCAGAGTAGTTCTCGCCAGTTGTTCTTTCAAACTAATAATACTAGTCTTTTGTAACACTAATTCTTTCCTCTCAGCCATTCAGACGCAAACAACTTCACAATTTAAAACCCTAAAAGAGAAGGAAACCCCAAATCCACAATTCTCCTACAAACCCTAATAAGGGTCCAAAACAAACCCTAAGGAGTCACAATTCCACTTAAACATTACATAAAAGACACAATCGTCGAAATCCGAACCAACTTTCTTCACCAGCAAGAGCACAAGAGACGGCTTCGATTGGATCTGGGAAATTCAGATGCTAAGGAAAAACAAACCGTAGAGGTACAAAGGAGAAGAGAAGACGGAGGAATCAACAGATTAAGATGTTTCCACATATTCGAGGCGTATTCGGAAGAGGACTACTGGGGAGTGGTTTCATCCGTACACCGGCAAAAAGGTCAACGCTGGCCATGGAACGATGAAGATGGAGAGAAGAACGCGAGTCCATCGCCAACAATTCCATATCAATTCACGCGAAACTCGCGACCAGAAAACTCCCTTGAGGAATCCGAATTGACCGGAAAATGGAAAAGAAACGACGAGAAAATTATGTTACGGAGCTTGAG